CCGACAAACGGTTGGTTTTATTACGGTGAAGAGTTGAAGAAGAGGGAATCGATTTGTGTTGAGGATATCGATTTTATGGGCGGTGAAAAGCGGTGGATAAAGCGATGTGTTTGTGTTCGGGGCACGACACGTGTTAGATGCCCAAGAGAGATAAGTTTACACGTGCAGGCTTCCCATGTCTTGACTGTATTTGTGTCATCATCCATTATTTTTCACCATCTTTCTCGGTTACTTCAACCAACACATGTATTCATTTCTTAATATAAAATTTTCTGTTAACCAAGTGTTTCGGAAAAAGTTAAATTTTGGTAGTTTACTTGTCTAAAGTACACTATCTCCTTATCAAAAATAGTAAGTTATATTGTAATTTTTATTATTTTAAAACATTACTCATAAAAACAGTACATTATATTGCAATAGTATCATTTTTAGGATATTAATCTCCAAAGATAATGAACTATTTTCAAGATAATATCTCAACAGTGATATAAATTGAAACATAAAGTATTATTATTGATGAGGAGAAAGTTAGTATACCAAAAAAAGGACTTTAAACAAATAAACAGACAAAAATTAAATTTTTACCGTTCCAATATAAGTTTTCAAATATCATATAATAAAATATATGCACAATAGGAACCATAATAAGGAGAAGATATGAATAAGTGAGACCATAGAATATAGTACATACTGTCTTTGATTTTATTAGTTTCTTACATCGAATCTCACCAAAAGCGCCACAATAATACTTTAGACAATAACAAATAAAACTTATTACAATCACATCAATTGTCACATTACAATAGCTTTAAACAGTTTCAAGTGTTGATTAAAATCAAGTGTTTATGAAAATATGGGCACATGAAGCAGCTATCAGCAGATAAATCAGTAGAGGACTCAACATCTTGGTTGAAAATCCTGAAAAAAAAAATAAATAAATTAAATTAAAATTGAAAATCATAACCTTCCAAAGAGAATCCAAAAAATTCACTACAGAATATTACTAATTGTATTCATAATAGAAAAATGTTATGTATGGTAGCTTTGTTACCTGAAAAAAATGGTGGCGTATCTGCAAAAATTAGAGAAATATAGATAAATTACAAGAAAGCGAGCAGTCAATTTTTTTAATTTTTATTTTTTTTAAAACCTTTATAATAACACAAACTTGTGTGACTCACTCTAGCTAAAAGTTAAGCGATTTGATCTTCCGTCATACTCTCCAAACAAAAATGAATATTTATATTATTAAATATCATACTTCTATTCATGTTATTGTTTAAAGTATGATAATTTTTTACTGAAAAATATGCATATCTGTAAAAACGTGCATAAATTTTTCATATCTGTAAAAACGTGCATATAACTGTTATAGAACAATTTTATTGTCTATAGAAAGTTTATTTTTTTTTCCTTTTCTTACTGTCATAGTAACAATCGCCAAATGACGGAGTACGAACACCACACACGCTGGGGAGTTCCGAAAATCGGGTCCTATTGACACCTTCATCGCCTCTTAGCACTTGACAAAGGCAATTGGGTTTTGATTCAACGACATCATCAAGACTATCACAACAGTCGGGTGGGAGAAATTTGTCCCGTTCTTGAATGTAATCGAAGCACGGGGACAAGCTCTTTATCTCATCCGTGCAATTGTCGAACTGCGCCACAGTGGCTAAAGGAAGAGTTGAGATTAGAATTGTGGCAAAAAATGATAGTGATATTGTTATCTCCATTGTTTTGGATGCCATGGCTTT